GATGCTCCCTGCACATCCACTGCTTCCACTTTACACCCACTTCATTCATCTCATCAGATTTGCTGCTATAGGAAATCATTTATAAAATGTCCCATCTCGCTGTTTGTAAAAACAATTCTGCAGCTAATTGGCCACTAGGATTACTTTTACATGAAAGCCGCCCACCAGCTAATAAACCAGCACTAGAATGATGCCTGTAGCTGCAAGCATCCTCCCCGGTATAACCACTCCAAGTCCAGCGACGTTCCAGTACATTGCTGGTCCATGTTGGACATATATGTACCAGCAGAGAACACGGACATACGATGAATCGGGTCTGCGGACCAATATGACTGCAATTCATTCTTTTCTGTAATGTCCATGTTGGGGGTTCGGCCCCAAAAAAGTTTTAATTTCATAAACGGTGATAGAGTTCCATGTGAATTGTGTGACAAGAGCTGAATTTGGGTGGGGCGGCCATGTATGTATTGTGGTGTATAAATTGCCTTGGCCCACAATTGGTACAAATCTTCTGTGAAGAACAGTGGAGGGGCTGAACACTAGTGCTGGCAGTGACCGGGCCGATCCGGCTAACACTGAGTATTGGGGACACTATACAAAGCCGGCACTAGTATAGTTCTGTTCATGATCAATATATTGATCCGTACAAACACTATACTAGTAATGGCGGTGATCAGCGACCTATAGCGTGAGTGCGACAGTGTGCGGCCAATCTAACGCCAGCTGACCCTGGCTGGGAGGGGCTTACTGACCCTGACACTATGTGATGTCACTAGTGGCAGGAATACAGAGATCAGTGAAACATTCTATATACTGACACTGTACTAATGGCACTGGCTGGGTGACGGGGCCATCAAAGGGTTAAATGTGCTAATCTAACGTGTGTGTGTACAATGTAGTGGTGCTTTTACTCGGTGCCGTGTTCTCTCTTCTCTCCCTGGACTGACCGGGGGGCAGCAGTGGGGGGGTGCAGGCGCATTGACACCCCAAAACAGGAAGTGATGCAGATTACGTCACTTTGCCAAGAGCTGCTGCTCGCCCACAAAATGCGGGTAAGTGGTTGGCAAGTAGTTAAAAAAAAAAAACCTTAAAAAAATTTAAAACAAAATTCTCAATATGGTATTTAACTTTTTTTTTTTAATACTTGTATCAGAATAGTAGGATGTTACCATAGTAACCATTGTACTACTGTGGGGGGGGAGGGGGGTGATCAGGGATTTTTTTTTCCACACTTTTCTTTGCAGAGAAATAATGGTCATTTCTCCTGCAATGCAAAGCTTGCTGTCAGAACCGAACTCATTCATCAACTGTCATCAGTGAGTTAGATTTTTGACAGCTCAAGATAGTGATCTGTGTGATGGCTGGAGCTGGTCACATGGTACAGGGTGCTGTGATTGGCCCCATGTATCATGTGACAGCTGTGGGCCAATCACAGCTCACTAGGAGGAGAAGCAGAGCTGTTATGAATGAGATTGATTCATAATAACTGCTTACATTGGGATCACCTAGAGATCACATGATCACCGGGTCACAATCACTGGGATCTTCATTCCGCTGTATCCACGCACAGACACAGCAGTCGGGGGAGGGGAGCGCTGTGTGCCGGCTCGGGTGTGTGGTGTGCCTCCTGTGTTAGTACAGCCAGAGTGACGTACAAGTACATTGCTTTGCCTAGTAGCTGCCGCCTGGCCACAGTACATTGCGGGTGGGAAGCGGGTAATCTAGGACTAAGGATTCCAAGCTCACTCCTTGGGCCATGATATCATCCAGGCAAGAAATGTAAGTTCTGTGTTCCAATTATGAGGTGACAACAGCATAGAGTGCTTTCAGGATAATGGACAAAGGTAGACAAGCATTGCATGCTGTTGTTGTGTGAAGCAAGTCTGTCTCCTTTTTTATTACAGATAATACATTTTGTTTGGCTTTTTCTACATTGTTCCCCGATCCTGACATTCGTGGCCTCCTGGGCTGGATGTGCCGCTGGATCCAGGCCCTGGAGCAAGCCCTGGAGGTGGAACCAGACGAGGACCAGCCCAGCCTTGGAGCCTATTTCAGGCAGCAATTTTTTTTTTAGTTACAATTTTTTATGATTTTTATAGTTTTCTATTGATTGTTGGTAATAAATGTTCTATTTCTCTTGGACAGTGCCCTGTGTTGTGGCCTTCTTCAGCCTTTGCAGGTCGGCAATCTTCTTCATTGCAGTTGGAGCTGATCTGCATGTCCCTAAAGCATTGCAGGACTCTGCTAGCTCCAGCTGCACTGGACAATCTTGCTTACCTGGAATTTCTGGTAATGTCCAAACGAAGTGTTTTCTGGCAAGTCCAGCTTTAGGACTGTAGCAGATAGGATTGCATGTTTCCGAGAGGTAAACCAGCTCCTTCAATCCTAAGCTGGGATACATAAAGATTGAAGTTGTCTGCTTGCTGTCTGCAGCTACTCCCAATCTTGGTTTGCTTCCTCTTGTGAAATGCTGCAACAGTTTACACAGAACACTCCATTCACGTTACATTGTTCACGTTTGGAGTAGCTCTTCATTCCATCCAGGGACTTCTACATAGCTTGGTGGAGTGTAGTTGTGCAGACTGCCAAAAGGGGGTGCAGCCAAGTAGACAATGTGTGGGGGGATCCTGTGGCCCAACTCTGTCAAGATGTCTCCCATCACCTCATCTCTAGTTGGGATTGGCATTACACAGAAGTCACATGACTTGAAAGCTGCTCTTGGAAGGACTATCAGTTATGGATGAGACCAGTTACATGCAATGTCCCCCAGAAAAGAAGGGGCCCTAATGGGCAAATTGTCTATCTGCTCCACACATACCACTTGGATCCAACTTGTTGCTCATTCACATGTCAGTGTTTTGGCAACAAGAGGTGGGGAGGGAATGAAGTGAGGAACAAGTGTCCACTGGGCACATAAATTCCATAGGCACACACACGTCTAGAATCAGGCAGCTAAAGATCCTATGCTCCCCAACCAATCTCGGGGCAAGATGTTACACGGGGTGTGTAAAGCAAACTTAGTCTGGGTCCAGTTAGTCCAGCATAATGATAGTAGTCCAAACAAACAGAAGGCCTTCTTCTTATTCTCCCAACTTTTCTGTGTCTCTAGCATTCCTTGGCAGGCTTACTGTGTGTAAGTTGTGTCCTGGTGTCACGCCTGGTGTCCTGGATATTACACACTTCTTGTATAGTGTGTGTCAATGAAGTAGCACAGGGAACATATTTGGACAGCAGTGTCAGTCTCTGGGGAGGTGAGTGTTCCATGCAGGAGTCTTGGCCAAAAATCAGCACCCCAAAAAGACAAAAGCTAGCCGACACTTAGAAAACAAGCTGCAATATTTGTGTGTTCCCATATTGGGGAACGTTAGCCTTGCCCACAGAGTCCACTGAGAATTCTAAGCTCCCTTGGGGCAGCCAAATGGTTAGCAGATAATGGCCAACCGCTACATGTGCCAGAGAACTTGTGTGATGGGGAATGACCATGAGTTCTCACAGCCGTTCTGAGCAGAGAGTGATGACTGTCAGTCACCGCTCTCTGCCCTGCCCCCCCCCCCACTCACTGGGCTGTGGAGGGGGAGGGTGCGGCTGTCCAGACTCTGATGTCGGGATCTTTCCCCAGCCTGGACCGGCTGAGTGACGTCAGCTGACAGCGGGCTTCACCTGAAAATGGGTCACAGGAGATCAGAATGAACTGCATTCCTCTGATCCACAGAAGTACAGACAGAAGAGCTTTGCCTGAACTTCTCCTTCAAAGAATATGTTCCTCCAACATGTCCTATTCCTGATCTGTGCCGGCTGTCCCATGTCCTGGTATGAAGACGTCTCCTCTTCTCTCTGTATTGCTTCCTTTGTGTGAGATCCCCGGTGATCCTGCCAGTCCCTCTGATTTCCTATTAAAACTGACCACACTAGGCATGAGAGCTCAGTGTGGTCAGTGCTCTAGCTGTGCTGGGAGCTCAGTCTGCTCTCCTCCAATCATCAGACTTGTCCTGAGATCCCCCTCCTCCTGCACAGCCATTCACTGGGGAAGACCAGTGAACAGAAGACAAGTGCTGTTTCTCCTCCCCAGTTCTCTATGAAGCTGAGAACAGAGGTCATGTGATCACTTATAAAAAAAGGAGGAAATAATTTATATACATATATACACACACACACACACACACAAATGTTTTGCTTTCATTTCTCTGTTTAACTGAATGTGTTGTTTTACAAGGACTTCATCCACTTTCCCTGATCTCCTTCAGTGTGTCCAGGACTCAGAGTGCGGGAGAGTGTGACCTCAGGGTGCGGGAGTGTGACCTCAGGGTGCGGGAGTGTGACCTCAGAGGTGCAGGGGGAGTGTGACCTCAGCGATTAGTATGGAGCATGTCTGATGAAGGAAACCAAGGGCTCTATTTATAGAACATTCATTGGACCAATGAGACAATCATTCCTCCAGCTGTGACAACATCCGGCCCTATGTTAAGTAACACAGTGATTTCCTATGATCGCCGGCTCCATCTAGTGGCCACAATGAGGTGAGTTCTGAAATATCTCCATCAGTAAAACTAGCCCAATATGATATTATGGCCACTAGATGGAGCCAATGATCATAAGAAATAAAATACGGCCAAAACTCCTCCCAGCTGGAGAATGCCGGTCACATCCGTTCAACATTGTTCTCCATAGACCTCCAAGTGTTTGTGAAATCTCCCACCACAAAATGTACTCAGCCAATCACAGGGCAGGACTCCATTTTTATTCTTCTCCTGCCATCAATGGCCAACCCGGTCCCACACTTCATCCATGTCTTTGGGGGCCTCTGATCTCCTTATGAACTGTTTCTTCCATGATGAAGATCAGCCATGGAGTATATCTGAGGTGTATATCAGGGTGTGCTTCTTCCCCACATGAGAGCTGGGATGTCCAGCAACATTCATCTAGAAGACATTTCCCGCACTCAAGGCACTAATACACCTCCAGGGTTGTGTGGGACCCCTGATGTACAGGAAGACAGGACTTCAGTGAGGAACATTTCCCTCACTCAGGACAGGAAAGTGGCTTCTCCCCGTGTGAGATCTCTGATGTCTGGAAAGATGGGACTTGGGACTTCTGTGAAAACATTTCCTGCACTCAGGACAGGAATATGGCTTCTCCCCTGTGTGAGATCTCTGATGACTGGAAAGATTTGACATATGTGAAAAACATTTCCCGCACTCAGGACAGGAATATGGCTTCTCCCCTGTGTGAGTTCTCTGATGTGTGTAAAGACTGGACTTCTCTGAAAAACATTTCCTGCACTCAGGACAGGAATAAGGCTTCTCCCCCGTGTGAGAGTTCTCTGATGTGTGTAAAGACTGGACTTCTGTGAAAAACATTTCCCGCACTCAGGACAAAATACGGCTTCTCCCCCTGTGTGACGATCTCTGATGTGTGGAAAGATGGACTTTGTGAAAAACATTTCCCCCACACTCAGGACAAGAGGAATACGGCTTCTCCCCTGTGTGAGATCTCTGATGTGTGTGAAAGACTAGACTTCCCCTGTGTGAGATCTCTGATGTGTGTAAAGACTGCACTTAATTGAAAAACATTTCCCGCACTCAGGACAGGAATACGGCTTCTCCCCTGTGTGAGATCTCTGATGTGTGGAAAAGATGGGACTTCACTGAAAAAAACATTTCCCACACTCAGGACAGAATACGGCTTCTCCCCTGTGTGAGATCTCTGATGTGTGTAAAGATTGGACTTCTGTGAAAAACATTTCCCACACTCAGGACAGGAATACGGCTTCTCCCCTGTGTGAGATCTCTGATGTGTATGAAGACTAGACTTGTCTGAAAAACATTTCCCGCACTCAGGACAGGAATACGGCTTTTCCCCTGTGTGAGATCTCTGATGTGTGTAAAGATTGGACTTCTGTGAAAAAACATTTCCCGCACTCAGGACAGGAATACGGCTTTCTCCCCCGTGTGAGATCTTTTATGCTGATTAAGACGGAATTTAGAACAGAACTCTTCCCGCCACTCAGTACAGGAGAAGCTCTTCCCTGTTGGAAGGCCGGGGCCGGTCCCGCACAGTCTGAGGTTCCTCAGGATACGAGGAATCCGATGGTCCATCTACACTGGGTGGTGCCGGATGGACATTGGAGGGAGCCGGGTTTTCTCCTGGACTATACTGTGTGATGTCCTCATCTTCTACTTTCCAGTCTGGAGACAAAGTGAGACAATCCTCGGAGGTTTTCCTCATCTCCCGGCCATGGACTAAAATACAAAGACAAAGAGGATTACTAGACAGGAGCTGATTGGTTCCCCCAAACCAGGACTCCGCCCACATCAGGCAGCTTGGTCTCTGAGGAGCTTACAATTCCACCCTCAAGGGAACTAGGAAATGGCTCCTCTGATCTCCTACCAGGTCATTTCTTTATTCATGGACCTTAGTCAGAGAGTGAGGAAACAACCAGAACTGTCTTTTATAGGAGGGACAGTGATGAGGGGATTATAGGACGAGGGTCCCCACCCCCTCTATCACTCATCGCCATCTTCCCAACACAAGAAGTACTGCACTTCCTTATTTAGTCCATGATTTAGTCATGAAGAACAGCGGGGCTGAGCCCCACCAGAGGTCAGAGAGTGAGGATGGGGGAGAACAACCAAGATGAAGACTGGACTGATCCTGAAGACCACCATCATTGGGGTATTGACTCCTCCCTCATTATCACTTTCTGTTTAAGGGTCCAAAGTTGGAGGATGTTATCACATTATTATCACCATGTAAAAGTCTGTGCTCCTCCAATCACATCATCCGATATAAAATGTCCAGCTGGGAGGAAATGGGGGGTAACAAAAGAGAATCCCATATTATGTGTATATATAGCAGTGGGGGGAGGGGGGGAGAGCAGAAGTCAGGAGTATGTAATGTACAAACATAGAGTATATAGTGCAGGGGTCAGGAGTATGTAATGTACAACATAGAGTATATAGTGCAGGGGTCAGGGGTATGTAATGTACAACATAGAGTATATAGTGCAGGGGGGTCAGGAGTATGTAATGTACAACATAGAGTATATAGTGCAGGGGTCAGGAGTATGTAATGTACAACATAGAGTATATAGTGCAGGGGTCAGGAGTATGTAATGTACAACATAGAGTATATAGTGCAGGGGTCAGGAGTATGTAATGTACAACATAGAGTATATAGTGCAGGGGTCAGGAGTATGTAATGTACAACATAGAGTATATAGTGCAGGGGTCAGGAGTATGTAATGTACAACATAGAGTATATAGTGCAGGGGTCAGGAGTATGTAATGTACAACATAGAGTATATAGTGCAGGGGTCAGGAGTATGTAATGTACAACATAGAGTATATAGTGCAGGGGTCAGGAGTATGTAATGTACAACATAGAGTATATAGTGCAGGGGTCAGGAGTATGTAATGTACAACATAGAGTATATAGTGCAGGGGTCAGGAGTATGTAATGTACAACATAGAGTATATAGTGCAGGGGTCAGGAGTATGTAATGTACAACACAGAGTATATAGTGCAGGGGTCAGGAGTATGTAATGTACAACATAGAGTATATAGTGCAGGGGTAGGATAGTGCAGGGGGTCAGGAGTATGTAATGTACAACATGAGAGTATATAGTGCAGGGGTCAGGGAGTATGTAATGTACGCCCGATGTATATGTAGCAGGGCCGGTCATAGAATATGTAATGTACAACATTAGTATATAGTGGGCAAGCAGCAGGGTCAGTCAGTGAATGTATAATGTACATAGAGTATATAGTGCAGGGGTCAGGAGTATGTAATGTACAACATAGAGTATATAGTGGGGGGGGATCAGTCTGTGTATGTAATGTACAACATAGATGTATATAGTGCAGGGGTCAGGAGTATGTAATGTACAACATGAGAGATAGCCATGCAGGGGTCAGGAGTATGTAATGTACAGTGCCAGTGCATATGCAGGGGGTCAGGAGTATGTAATGTACAAGACATATAGTGCAGGGGGTATTTAGACCATGGATGTCTTGGATGTACAACATTAGAGTATATAGTGCTGGGGGTCAGGAGTATGTAATGTACAATATAAATTATATAGTGTAATGGTCAGGACTGATAATATTGTATTCAGTAATCAGTGGAAATTAAATGTTTACTGTAAAGTTGCAGAGATCCCACACCGCTGCCTCCCATCTCCTGAGACTGCACTCAGTGACTTGGGTCTGAGACACTACAGACATATCCCTCCACCCGGCACAGCCAGCAGCACAGAGCAAGAAGGTCCCCTCAGAGAGTCAGGCACAAGGCAGGAGACCCCAGTCACATGTCCAGGTGCCTACATTATGCAATGCTTAGAAAAAAATCAACATTTTGCTGCCAGCTGAACCCCAGAACCTCCATAAATCCAGTCTAGATACATAAAAATTGTGTCTGCAGCACAGAGAAGGAAGATTATCCGAGAGAAATCCAGGAATACAGGACGGGGAACACAGCTCAGGAAAGTGACCAGGGGATTACAGGCTGATATCACCCAGTCCCCCCGCCCTACTCTGGACCAATCAGTGAGCAGTATGGGTGGAGGAATGGATTTAGTGTTCATGACCCACCTGTGCTGATCTCTGTAGGAGTGTCCTCCTCTATAAATGTCCCCGTTATTCCATCCTCCTCCATAGACTGCTGATCATCCCTCACATACGCCTCTTCTTCTTCTGCTTTCACCTCAAATTCTATATCGATTGGATCTCCACTCTAAATCAAGAAAATGAGAGAAAATATCATCTGTAAAATGTAAGGTCACATAAAAACTCCACACATTGTCTCTATGAGTCCATGTTCTAGATTCTCCATCCCACCAACCTTGTAATAGGGAGGGATGGTGTGACCTTCCTGTGTGGAATCCCGGGAATACAGAGGACGGGGACATCTCTCTGGTGGGTTCCTGGTATTAGGTGGCTCCATCATATCCTTGTGTCCTTCTGAAAACTCCTCCATCACTCCATACTCCTCTCATCCTCCTTTATACTCTTCTTTAACATCAATATTATCATCCCCGAGGATTCCACTCTGAAAGATATAATAAAACATTCATTGTAACAAACATGCTGTGTATAAATCACAACTACCAATAATTGTCATCATCTACCTGATGATGGTGAGGGATGGTGTGACCTTCCTGTGTGGAATCCCGGGAATACAGAGGACGGGGACATCTCTCTGGTGGGTTCCCATGACTGGATCCATCTGTAGGAAACACACACACTGACTGAATCCATTGTTTCTATGTGTTTATCAGATGATGGGGGATCTAGGTGGATCCTCCGTACTGCTCTCTCCTTTACAATAAAGTCTCCTCTTACCCGGTGATGTGAGGGGCGGCTGATTGTCCATCATGACGTCCTTGTAGAGATCCTTGTGTCCTTCTGCTGCTACTTCCACACACAAGGCACAGCCTGTTTATATTCCATATGACTTCTTGTCTGTACCTGACATCACTTCCTGTCTGTTTCTGACCTCACTTCCTGTCTGTATTCCATAGAGAAGTCCTGTCTGGGTAGTACAAATGAGATCACCATCTTGTGGAGCTCAGAGGAACTGCAGCCCCGAGAAATGTCCCCTAATACCCATTCCTGCATTGTATCTACCTTACAGAGATACCAGGGAAGTGCCAAAATAAAAAAAAAAAGTAAGAAACAATAAACCTAACTCTTGTGCAACCAACTGTTTAAAAAAATATATTTTACTACAGATAGAAAAGTCTTAAAGACACAGAACACAAGATAATAAAAACAAAGGTATACATAATAAAACAGAGACCTCCAAAATCATCCTTCATATCAGAGAATGAGACAGACTACCCAGAATGTCCCATTGTTTCTATCAGAGAGAGACAGACTACCCAGAATGTCCCATCCTTTATATGAGAGACCGAGACAGACTACCCAGAATCTCCCATCCTTCCTATCAGAGAGAGACAGACTACCCAGAATGTCCCATCCTTCATATCAGACAGCCAGCCAGCTCTTGAAGGCTGTAGGAAAGAACTCTAAGGGTACCTAAGGGCTTGATTAGAAGAGGAAAAAGTGCCAAGACACCTCCACAGGGGTAAGCAGAGAGAAGGAATATGGCGCAACCCATATGGTGCACAAAACACCAGCAGGTCATAAGGATGCACAGGGACCATGTACCTAAACACCCACCGCTGCCTCCAAGCAAAACTCCCTACATCTAATCACGGAGCATGGTCCAACAAAGCATCCTCAGCTGAGGAGAGGGGAAGGGGGAAGGGATCCTAGATTGTCTACCTGATTAGGAACAGGAGCAAGGGAAGGAGTCTGGAGGAACTGCACATCGGTCATCAAATGAGAACTTAAGCTCCAGTGACCAGGTCCCACAAAGGTCTCCAGGCAGACCCCCTAGCTGCTGGGGGGGGCTAGCAGCAGGACCCAAGCATGATCTTCTTGCTGACAATGTGGAGAGCACAGGGCCATCCAGCAATTAAATCTTCCTGCCAGGTTGGAAATCAACAGCTTTCAGGTACTTAATCTGAAGAGAAGCAGATGGCAAATTCTTATCTCCAAGGAGGACAGCATAGTGAAACGTAACACTCTCAGTGTAGTACAGCTTAGGGACTAGGCCACTAGACCTGCCACAGGGAAAACTCCTAGAACCTTTCCATAGGGGAAGACTCTTCAACACGTGAGGGATTTCCAGTGGAGCTCAGGTCAGAGTACCAAGTCATTGAGGGGATGTTTGATGAGACGGGAACTGTTCTCAGGAAACAGATTGGAGCCCCAGACATGGGGACACCCCTGCAAGTGAAGACTTTCATGGTGAAGGGGAATAAACTGCCCCTTTCAGACAAAAAGGCAGACAGGTAATATCTGGAAGTACT